GATGGTTGATCACTTATCTAAGGGTTGAATCCTGATTAGATCAAGAGTTTGGTTGTTGCATTGGATGGCTAACTTTCTGTTGATTATTGGAGAAATATTAGTCCTTGTATAGTTGATGACTTGCCCAAGTGGGAGACTGTTGAAATATTGTACAAGGTCATTAACTATTTGTAATATTTCTAATAATAGTAGGGTCTTTTTGGGTTGCCCTCAAGACCTAAATTGAGTAGAATAAATAAAGGAGAAATTAGTTTATTAATTATTATGGTTAACAATTAATTAGAAACTAATTGGAAATATATTTTGGGAATTAGTTAACAGTTTAATTAATTAAATAGTTGAATGTTCATTAATCAATAGTTGGTTAATCAGTAATGTTCCAGAATCTTATGGAATTAGGGTTGGATGAAAATCACTCCATCCCACATGGGAAAGGAGCAAAATTTCGTGGTTATGCTTCCATCCCACATGGGAAAGAGTACTAAACCTAAGGAGGCATCCAAGGCTATAAATATGGCCTTAGAGATTTCATTCCTCCTTGTACCTTGGTTTGAAGTTTCGCTAACCCTTCTTCCTCCCCCTCTTAGGGATGATTTCTAACCCCTTTAGGTTTGTGAAATTTGCCCTTCTCCTAGTTATTTTATTCCACTCTTTGGTGTCATCGGGTGTGATACCATTAGAGGGACTTTGATTTGAGTCCTTTCATCCAAGCAACTTCATTGAGGTTCAAGATCTCAAGCATTGAGATCAAGGGCAACATAAGATGTATGTTTTCATCTTTTTATGTTTTCTAGGGTTGATGTAATTAGCATGAAGCCATAGATTCATAGGATGCATATACGGTAAATCGTAGTTTCGATTTTTTCGCTACCTAGTTTAGAATGTATTTGATGCGTAGGAAACCCAACAAAGACGATAAATAAGAATAGATTAAGCTCATACCTAGACATGAACTCCAAATTCGGATTTCACCATTAGGGGTTAAGGAAACCCATCAAAACAACTTCAAACTTACAAATATAACAACCATTTGTTGGTTAGGGCTTGGAGATGGATTAAGGAAAGAAACTACAACATAAATCTCATATTAACATCACAATTTAATCAAGAAATTCGGATTGCACAACCCCAAAACTCTAGAACGGATTTGAAAGATTTAACTATATTAAATCTTTGTGTTTTTAGTGTTTTCATATTTTTATATCATGTTTGTGTTTCTAACGATACTTACACCTAATAGATTTTGTCCATCCACATCCAGTATTCATAGATCTTGAATATTTGGATATCTAACCCCTAATCAATTCGAACTGGGATTGGAGAAAACCATAAATCAAGACTAGTATTATAAATATCTAGTCATACCAGTAATGCACAAAGCCACAAACATATACCTCGGATTTCTAACTTACCAGAAAAATTACATCTTCAGCATTAGTAGCTAACAAACTAAATTATCCAAAATTTATAATTAATTTTTGGATTTTGTGTTTGAAAGCTTGTTAATATTTAGAGGCCACGTTAGTATATTCTACTTTTAGCACATGAAACGTGATGTTTTTTCCTGGATATTAATTTGGGTCATGGCTTATTTATTTAACATGTGTGCTTATTTACTGTATGTTTATTCAAATATTCAGCTTTTAGAAGTGTAAAATAAGAATTATATATATATATATATATATATATATATATATATATATATATATATATATATATATATATATATATATATATATATCATCAAATTTGAACATCTTTAAAAGCAAAACAAGATATCAATTGATAAATTTATAAAAGATTAATGTTCAATTTTTAACCAAGAATATATCAAAGAAAAAAGCGGATGCATATTTCAATTTAAAACTTAACATGAAGATGTGGCGGACTAGATGACTGAAATATAGATGCAAGCTGCCGATGAAAATAACATTTGATAAAATTAGCATGTAAATTAGCTTAAATGTATAAATGATATACCAGGACATTGTAAAATATAAAGGTTTTTTTCTTTTTTCTTTTTTGTTTTTTTTTTTTTTTAATTTGTAAATGGTGTTTTATTATTTTCTCTAATTTTAAATTATATTTGTAATTTCATCAAATCCAAATGTCACACAAAAAAAATGATTTGCTAATATATATATGAAGCAATAAAAAAGCTGGGAAAAAAAATTAAGAAAATATTGTAATAGAACTTTTATTTTAAAGCTGGGAAAAAGTTTAACAAAAAAATCATTATAAGGAAGTAGTAGAAAAATATACTAGTATAAAGTAAAATTGCATGCGACGAATTTATAACATTTTAACTTTAGATTAAATTTATAATAAAGTTTAAATTTTAGGACAAAAATATAAAATTTGAAAAAGATATGCTATAATCAACCTGAAATAACAATGACTATACATAAAACATAAGTTAATTACCTTCTAAAACATATAATCAATAATTTTACATGCTTAAAACTTTCTAAAAATTCGTTTATAAAACAAGCTTAAAACTTTCTAAAAGTTCATTTATAAAGACAATGATAACCCATAATAATTTACAATTTCCAATTTCAAGTACAAACTATAGTTTTCAAATTCTAGCTTCGAGTTTAACTTTGTTTTCCGACAAATAACAACTAATTTTATCAAATGTACTAAGAAAATTATCAAACTCATTTTCGTTGTAACATGATATAACAAATTTATGGGTGTTGCGTATACGTTTTAAAATTATTACAACTTGATATCTTAATTATCAATCGAATTTGTGTATGTTATTTTTTTTTTTATTTAAATATCCTAATTAACGGTGGATAAAAACTAATTATCTAAAAGAAGAGATTGTGAAGTAACTAATTATTAATTAATTTATTTATTTGCATACAGGAAGGAGCAACTGTCTCATCAGCTACACGTACACCACCTCTATATAAATGTCAACCACTATCACTAAACACCATTCCTTCGACGACTTCGTTCCAACTCCCCCACATGGCTTCGACCACCACCATCATCCTCCCTCTCCTTGTCGCTCTAATTTTCTCCGGCAATCTCCAAACCGCTGTGGCCCGCCGCCTCATGCACATCCCGGGCATACCAGATTTCACGTCAACTTCCCCAATCCCTTCATTGCCTCCATTCCCTCCATTTATGCCGTCCATCGACTTCCCAGGTGTCCCATCATCTCTTCCAACACCCTCTGCACCATTCCCGACATTCCCTCCTTTTATTCCTTCACTGCCATTCCCGACGTTCTCTCCTCTTATCCCCATTCCTAAATTCCCTTTTCCCATCAGCGCCTCCTCTCCCCCACCATTCACCACAATCTTCACTCCTCCTGTCGCCGGAACCAGTCGTCCCTGAAGCTAAGGAGCCTACATTTTTCATCATCTGAAGCTACATTAATATGTAGTGCTATCAAGTAAAATATATTTGCTAGTTATAATTATTGTTTCTTGAAACATGTATGTTTGAAGGCCGACTACATTTTTAATGTTTTTAAATTTCTCTGGTCTTTTGTTCAATTTTTTTTTTTCAATTGACATTTGTATCTGCCATTTTATAATTAAACCTTCATAATACACACACACACACACGAGGTATCTCTTAGAGCCGTGCTTAATATTTCTTTGTACAAATCTTATAAGACGGTTGCTGTTAGGGTGTGGGGCATCCTATAATTTTTACCGATGAACATGTAAGTTCATAGTGACATTTTTGTCATTTTCACCGTTTTTAAAAATAGTTAGGATGTATTGTTTGTGTTTATCATGCAAAGAAGAGAGATGATGGTGAATTGATATTTGCTATCTTTGAATACAGATGGTAAAAAAACGCTACCACACCCCCCCACAACCTTTTTACAATTGTTATTTTGGTGTTGGCATTTAAATATCATACACACTGCAAAATATAATAATCCTGAGTTCAGAAATTTAAACCTTATTCATGTTGTTACTTGTGTTTTTATGGGTAAAAGAAAATATATAAAAAACTAAAAATAAAATTTTTGTATTTGAACCGAAAGTTATTCCGTCGATCAGATTGATCAATAATTCCATAGAATTAACATTACCACCTTTTATTCCTTTCGGTCATGTTATATTTAGTTATACATACCATTAAAGTCATCATTTTTCTCCTTATTCATATACAACTATGCATAATTCTTTATCCGGTATCCAATACTGATCAATACAGTACAAGCTAAAACTACAACTCCTAAAAGCAATACCCTTCATGTAGGATATTCCAAATGAATTCATAATCTTTCCATTATTAGTTTTCTCATTTTCTCTCACCTAATAATGCAAATACTACCACTACAAATAACATCTTCTTGTCTGGTACCCTTCCAAATACATTTACCAACATTAATTCCAGTCCACTTTCTTTTTATTCTAATGCTCAAAGAAATCGATCCAGCATAAAGTAAGTTCTTGTTATTGTTGTTGATCGAGTACTTCAGTGTATCCTTTTTGTTCTAACGAGTCCGGAAAAACGGTGCTTCAATAACAAACAAAATAAATTAGAATAGCATATCATATATGTGTGATGCAAGATAATAATGTAAATGAAAGAAATAGAGTATATTGTGTATGACATCCTACTATTTTTTTCTCTTACGATGCTCTAGTTTTGTTGCTACTTATTAAGGCAAGGTACTTTTTAATCTGCTTAGTTATAGCATTCTCAAATCCTTTTGAAGGAAAGCCAAGTAGGAATAAATAAATTGATGCAAAAAAAAAACCATAGAATTGATAAGCAAACTATTCAGAAGCGAATGCTAATCTAGTCACAAACTTGAGTTCTAGAGGCACACCTCTCATTAAGCATAATTCAAGCGTAATACATCATTATACACATAAAAACATCTTTTTTTGGAACCGGCCAATGAAACTATATTAATGAAAGAAAGAGAACAGGAGAAATAGAGACAGCCACAAGTCAGTGGCGGAACAAAAGGTCCAAAAACAAAATGCAGAGAAAACAACATCAAAACGAGTGACAGATTAAAGGAAAGGGCATTGAGACCAATTTGCCCAAGCTAATTCTGCCATCTTACCCCTGTTCTTCACCCAAAGAAAAGTCACAAGCTTAACTATTTCTATGACTTTTTCAGGTGGTAGGCGATTGTTTTTAAAGACTCTTTCATCCCTTGCCTTCCAGATACACCATAACATACCATAACAAATTACCATAATAATTTTCCTTCTTTTGGGCACGACCCCAATGTAGCAACAAAATCCAATAAATCGTTCACCTTGTTGAAACCACCAGCTTGCACATTACACCACCTCCATATCCCATCAGCCACCTTTTTTGCAAAAGAGCAATCCACAAGAGCACAGTCTGGGCACTCATCTTTCTCCTCGCATATACAACATGTCAATGTTTCCAAGTTTACCCCTCTTTTTGAAAGCTCCGTTGCGGTAGGAATTCTACCATATTTCACCCTCCATATGAAACATGATACTTTCAATGGTATTTCTTTAATCCATTGGACATTATAGTTACTGATAGGGGGCTCATAATCACACCTTTTTCTAAGGGCTTACACTGTAAATGATCCGTCCGAGTTTAAACCGCATCTCCATTGATCTCGAGTGGTATCTGATTGCTTGGATATCACAGAGCTAATGGGGATTCCAATTTTCGTGAGATATTTCTGAATGTCTGCAATATTGTTACATACTCCTGCTAAAGACTTCAATGAGTAGCAGTCATCAGGTTTGGATCGAAGATCGTGCAAGCAGTTGATGACTACAGCCCATAATCGACCTGGCTCGGTTTTGATCTTCCACCACCATTTCATTATGAGGGATATATTAAGAGCTTTTATCGTTCCGACACCCAATCCACGTAATTCCTTGGAGGCAATCACCTTTTCCAACGATATCCAGTGTATTACTTTCTTTTCATCCGATCCACCCCAAAGGAATCTATCTTTTCTAATATGTCAATTACACCTTCAGGGGCCACAAATAAAGAAAGGTAATAAGTTGGGAGGTTTCCCAAGACTGACTGAATAAGGGTTAATCTTCCACCAAAGGATAGATTTTTAGATTTCCAATTTGATAGCTTTGCTTGGAATCTGTCAATTACCGGTTTCCAATGTTTCTTCAACTTCATATTTGCTCCAACGGGGACTCCAAGATAGGTGAAGGGGAGGGAGGCAGGTGCACAACCAAGGGGACTAGCCCAGTTTGCAACCTCCTGCATATAAGTTCCAATCCCAAAGACACTTGATTTGTAGAAGGTAACTCTAAGCCCTGATGCAACATGGAAGCAGTGCAAGATGCATGCTAAGTTATTGATATTTTGTTTCGACCACTCCCCACAAAATAGAGCATCATTTGCATATAATAGAAGAGAAATTGTTGGTCCCCCATTAGGCAACTTAATGTCGTGAAAGATACGAAGTTCACATGCAGATCTCATTGCTACACTAAGACCCTACATGGCTGCAATTAAGAGGAACAGGGAGAGCGGATCTCCTTATTTGACACCTTTAGATATTGAGAATTCTTTGGTTGGGCATCCGTTAACTAAAACTGAGATTTAGATGATACTAGGCTACCTTTTATCCACATTCTCATTTTGTTCCCAAATCCCATGTTCATAAGATTTGAATCAAGAAAATCCCAGTTTATCGAATCAAAGGCTTTATCAAAATCAACTTTAAAAGTAGGATCTTTCTTTTCGACTTTTTTGCCCATGAACAAATTTCATTAACTACAAGAGGCCCGTCAAGTATGTTCTTTCCCTCAACGTATGCAAATTGTACCTCATCAATACATTTCCCCATGATTTTCTTCAATCTTAACGACAGGATCTTCGATATAATTTTGTATATGCACCTAATAAGACTAATCGACCTATAATCGCTAATTAAGAGGGGGTCCTTTATCCTTCTAGTGAAGGAATTAGATGGAACATATGCACATAAAAGCACAATACATCATTGTACACCAATAAATGAATTCTAGAAATGGAAAAGAAAAGACAAGTATTTGGTCTCATTCTTTAGCTATACATGAAAAGATGCATTACATACCAAATTATATCGATTAAAATAACAGGTAAAAGCAAATTTCCATCAGAATGATAATCGTAACAGCTTGTTGATTCCTGAATAATGAAATGAAGCAAAGAGAGAAAGGGAATATGTTTGAATATTTTCATTGTATTGATTATTGTAAGAAGAGTTACAAAACTGATTATATACAAAACTCAAAGCTAGTAAACAGAAAAAACTAATCATCTAGTTGTCTAACTAACTCGCTAATCAGCTTAATACACATGTCAAAGCATAAGTACGAACATCTCGCCTCAAGTGGGCGACTATGAGACTCCTAATTTGCTTAGACGTCTATAGTGATCTTTACTTGGCACATTTTAGTAAACAAGTAACCCAGTTGCATCTAAGTTGGAACATATTGCAAGGAAATCAGGCTATCTTGTAAGAGTGGTGAATGACAAATTGCTCTGGATGGTCCTATGATGCATGGAGATAAGAGTGTACTCCACTTGAGCTACTGTCTGCACTAGATGAAGAGTGTGTACCCTGTCAACAAAATTAGACCATTGTTCATCATTAGAACTTGGTTGCTACCTGAAGCAGGTATCATACCATTTAGGGCTTTAGAATTCGGAGGGACAACTCCACCTTCTGAAAGCTTGGAATCTGAGGCAGGGGGCCCAGATTGTGCATGCTTAGAAGAAAGTGGGATGTTCGAAGGGACACATGGTTGCATTCCATGGGGCTTCAAGGAACTTTGTTCAACACCTTCACCATCTTTTTGGGAAGATGGGGGTTGATTATGTGCAGACTCCCTATGACTATCTAGGTGTATTTTCTGAAGGGTACTTCAGAAGAGTATATGGGAGGGGTTAATGGATGTACATAGTTAAATGAAATGTCAATATTTGATTCCTTTTGAGAGGAACCACTGAATTTGGTTCTTTTTTTGGTTGGAACTTTAGAGGTTGATGTTTTTCTTTTAGCCATCTTTTCTTTCTGCTACAAGTGGAAACTATTTTGTTCACATATGAGGGCTGCTCATCCGAGACCGGGGTAGATTGTGTTGATTCATACACAATTGAGGTCTCTAAATGGTGTTTGAGAAAAGTAGAGTTGGATGCAAGTATTGCCAACATATGTTGTGGAAAAAGACGAATAGGTCCAAAATAAGTTTGGTTTGGAAGCCTATAAGTTCTAATGGCCTTGAAAGAAAGATACACCTATTTAGGATTGAATTTGATGGGGATGAATTCTCTTCATTCCTTGTAGATTTTTTTGGAGATTCATAGCCCAGAATCTCGGACTCAATATTTCATTCAACTTTTTGTGGATGGAAAACTTTGAAAAGTCTTGCCATAGAACCTCAGTCAAGTCAACAACATTGCTTCATATGGAGTAGATGTTATACGCAAAGTATAGCCACTCCTTGCTCATGGTGTCACACCATACTTCCGTGATAATCCTCGAAGGATTAGATGCATCAACACAGTCCATAGTCTGCGAACCGCCATTTTCTTGAGCTTCTTGGCTTTGAACTTACTGTTATACCTAATTTCATTTAGAAAGGTCTAAAACTCTTCAGAAGAGGGTCCTTGAACAAGAAAACCCTTGGGGTTTTGGGGATACTAATTGCTTTCAGAAATGTATTCTTATGTACAGGGAAAAACCTGTCACCTATGATTTTGACTTCAATGACACCATCTTCTATCTTGATTCTTTCAAATGATATGTGAAGGATGTGTAATGGGAGTTTTGGATTGGCTATTTTTGGTAAGTGGAATAACAATGGGGTGATGTGAGATGAACTCGATCATCACTCGAATGGATTCATCGTAATCCATGGGGCCAAGGGAGAAAAGTTGGGTCATTTCCCTGAGAATCAGTTCAATGGATGATGACAATGTTGAACCCTTTGATGATTTCTTCTTAGTTGTAGGTTTTGAGATTTCATGGACATTTTGTGAGGACGCCATTGTTGAAGGTTTGAATGCTCAAAGAACAGGATGCAAAGAAGTAATGATGACACCCAAAAGAGAAATTGGTCACATTTAATGTGTTGCCAAAAATGGCATCCTTAAAAACTGAAATGCGAAAAATGGGACGTCTATTCGTGCCAAAGGAGACAACGTTCGTTTCAGTTATGGAGTTGACATGCACTTTATTGAAACGTGTGCAAAAGTACATTTATTAAGAATTAAAGGATAATCATCAACAAAAATTACCATTAATATGAATAATAAAATGTTTTGGAATAAAAAACTTTAATGAAAACCTTTGCGCTTATTTTAAAACTGAGGATCTCAGAACAAGAAGATTCTGAGATGAGATGTCATAAGATACTTCGGAAAGAATATAAACATATCATTAATACATGAAAGAGAATACAAGATGCCACAATCTTAGATTGAATATCAGATGTAAAATGCATGAAGATCTTAGAGGACAATTTTCAACAGATTTAGATTCCATGAAATGAAGGATTAGAGCTTGGACAAAGATAAAAGACGAACACACATTACCATTTTAGATTTTATTTCCCAGGTGAACTTCGTAACACTTCATTTTGAAATAAATTCTAAGGAGAGATCAATAAAATAGCACCATTGTAACTATATTAGTCAGGATCTTCAAAAGATTAGGGAAGTTGTACAACTTAAAACTAGAGAAAAAGGTTAAACAAAAAGACACATAAAATGATCCTATATTTTCCAAGAGAAAATGATTCTGAGATGAAAATATTTTGATGTCAGAATTATTTCACTTTCTGATGTTTCCATCAGAGAGGACAAGTCTCTAGGAAGAATTGTGGATGAGGAATCATTATACCCATTTTGTTTAGAAACCCATTAAATTTGGTTTCGTCTAATAGCTTAGTAATGACATCATCAGTTTCATCTTTAGATGGAACAAAAATAAGTTCGATGTTTCCTTTTAAAACATGATCTTTAATGAAATGGTATCGAATATCGATGTGCTTCGCCATAGAGTGTTGAATTGGATTATGAGAAACCGTAATGGTACTTTGAGAATCACAATATATTGGAATTTGTTGAAATCGATAACCATAATCCAAAAGATGAGTTTTCATCCAAAGAACTTGCGAGGTGCAACTTGCAGCAACATTGTATTCTGATTCGGATTTTGAGAGAGCAATGCAGTTATGCTTCTTAGATGACCAGTTACCCAATATTCCACCTAAAAATTAACAACCTCCTGAGGTGATTTTTCTATCCAGTTAAAGACCTCCATAGTTTTGAATCGGATTATACCTGAAGAATGAAACGTTTATTTCTCAGATACCAAATTCCGAGGCTCTTTGTTCCTTTGAGATATCGGAATATTTGCTTGACTGTAAGAAGATGAGACATCTTCGGATTGAACTGGAATCCAAAATATAGGCATGTAGAGAACATGATGTTCGGACGACTTGCGGTAAGGTAGAGTAGCGATCCAATCATTCCCCTATAATACTTTTGATCAATAGCAACAACTGATGAATTCGAGAAGATCTTGTATCTGAAACCCATAGGAACCTTTTCAGAGACACAGGTGTCCATTGAATACTTTTCAGAAGTTCGGAAACGTATTTCTCTTGGTGAATAAAGAATCCTTTGTTGGTTTGCTTGACATATAATATGAGGAAGAAACTTAATTCATGATTCATGCTCATTTGGAATCAACAAGCCATTAGCTTGGAAAAATCAACAACCATCGTTGAATCTGTGGATCCAAAAATGATGTCGTCACCAAAAATTTGGACTAACATGAGATGCTTACCATTTGATC